GGCCTTAGAAATCTTTGTCATTATTGAAAGTTATAGTCTAATTCCCCTCTCTTTACCTTTTATTATTTCAGTCTCTCTCAACCTTATATCATTAGGGTGAATCAAAGTGAAAATCCACTTATCGATTCGCCATAACAATACTATAGAACTTATAAAATCTTTTAAATCAAAATATCAATAAAAACATTGATTCTTAAAAAAAGAAGTATTATAACAAAATTAGAATAATATTAGATTTATATTTTATTTTACAGATCATTGCTATGTTACATATTGTATCACATGTGACTTATTACATCACAATTATTTGATTATGCCAAGAAAAGTTACATAATATATTTGAGTTATTTTAGTTATAGATAGTTTTTTTAGTAGAATTTCTCTTTTCTTTTGTTTTACTAATTTAGTTAGAATATTATTAAATTTATATATTTTATTATAATTATTTATTTCTTTATTTATTTATTAATAAGTATCTTCCAGAGGTACTACTCTATAAGTATTATCTATTATTAATTTATTATTTTATTATTAATTTTATGTAATATTAATTTATTATTTAAAAATGCTGTATCTATTCTGTAATTTTAAGTATCAAGTATCAATATATCAAATAAAGAATAAGTTTAAAAATATAATCTCTTATCTACTTTTGATTTAGTTTTCTGTATAAATTTTATTTCAAATAATATCACTATATATCTTGAATCTTCTGTGTGAATTTTTCTTATATAATATTATATCCTGACTTTTCTGTATGAATTATCTGGATATATTATACTATGTAACTAGAAAATTATAATATATATATATGTATATATATATATATAGTATTAATTTTTTTTGTTATTATCAAAGTTATAATCTTTCTAGTTACATTATATAATATATCAAAAAAATTTATATAGAATATTTAAGATATATAGTAATATAATTTGAAATAGAATTCACACAGAAAACTAATTTAAGATAGATAAGATTATTATATTTAAAACTTATTCTTTATTTATTATTATATGATTGTTAAAAATACAGAACAGAAATAATATCTTTAAATAATAATTTAATATTATATAGAATTAATAATATAATAAATAAAAATTAATAATAAATAATAATTATATGATAATATCTCTGAAAGATGCTTATTAATGAATAAATAAAGAAATAAATAATTATAAATAAAATATATAAATATAATAATATACCAGTTAAATTTATAAAATAAGAGAAAAGAGAAATTTTATTAAAAAAATTATCTATAGCTAAAATAACTCAATATACTGTATGATTTTATGAGATGATTTTTGTGATGCAGTATCATATTCAGTGCAATATATGATATAATAATGATCTGTAAGAGAAAAATATAATTTATTATATTAGCTTTGTATTATATTTTTAAGAAAATTGATTTTATACTGGATATACAGATAATTATTATGCATTTAATATATTAGATTTAGCACATTATTATGCAAATGATTATTATATATATTATAATTATTAATTTAGATTATTAATTTTTTTTAATTATATTTATTATTAATATTTTCTTTATAATTTTATTCATTTTTCTTTATTATTATTTATATTATTTATAATTATTAGATTATAATTTGTTATTCTCTAGAGATACAAATTAAGTTAATTAATTCTATTCAACCCATATATAATTTAAATTAGAAATTCATATTAATTCATTTATATTTTGTATTTATTTTATTTCTTATAAATAAGATCTTTCTGTTTTGTAAAATAATCTTGATCTGAATACTTTTAAATAATAAAAACAATTATAAGTTATAAAATTAAAACTGTTCATATTGTATTTTATCTTATTTACAACTATTAACAAAATAATCTTATAAAATGAGTAATTTAAAAATGGAAAAGATGATTATTTCAAAGAGTTATTATGCAAGAATTTCTTGATAGATCTCTTCAAGAGATTTAATAACTTGAAGGATAATTTAAGTAAGTAATTAAGACATGATAAAATAATAAATATAATAAAAATAAAAGAATTTAAAAGAAAATAAGATAATAAAAGTAAAAAGATAATTGATAAAAAGTAAAAAATATAAAAAATAAAGAAAAGGCTAAGGGAAAAAGAAAGAGTATTTATATATATTCTAAACTAATAGTCTATTATAAATGATAAGATATTAAAAATTATGAGAAAAGATAAATATAAAAATAGATAAAAGTAAGATAAAAGATAATTTTAAATATAGGATGACAAAAACTAAGAGATGATTTATGTGAGTTATTCAATAATAATTTGTAATTCAAAATAATCTTGATAATCATGATAATTTTTGAGTTATCTTCCATTAATAGAATATTTGAGAATATTTTTATTCTGATCACAAATTTTATAAGAGTTATATTTAGTATAGTCATAAATATAATACTATTCTTTACTTCAAGTAGGTTAAAATTTATCTTTAATTATTGAGTATTATTTTATATTAAATATTAATACTTTATTTCTAATTCAAATATTATTTCTTTTTGAATTTTATCATTATATCTTTGAGAATATTATAATTATCATTCTTCTATATTTTATTTCACTTCTAATATTTGTTAAGGTAATTGATCTATTGTATGATATATTCATTCTATTAATTTTTCTTTTTCTGTGGAATCTTCTTCTAAATGAGCAGAAATTTTTAATTCAATTAACAATTTAGCATTCATCCATAAGTTAAGAAAAATAGTTCATGTTTTGTTATTGAATTTTAATTGGTTTGATAAGTAAAAAGAGCAGCAGGAATGAAAATATCCTATTCTTGTTCATGTGCTATTATTAATTTTTGTAATATTATATATAATATTCTATTAAAGCATTCTATTGTTTCATTAGTCTGTAAGTGATAAGATGAAGAAAATCTATGTTTAATTCCAAAGTTTGTTAACAATTTTTTAACTATTTTATTGACAAATTCTAATCATTTTCTTTTATAAATTATATCTGGGTACTAACCCAGGGGGGTATATTGCATGGGAGGGTATCTTATGCGGCAAAATACGATAATGCCAGAGAACTTCTAAAGTTATTAAATACTGTGAGAAATTAGAAACTGAACTGATTTTCACTTTTTAGATAAGAGAAAATAATAGTTAATTTGCATACATAATACCATACAACAGGAAATCTTATCTGAGATTTTCCCGAAATTCTTTGATGACTTTCTAAAAAGCGTCATTATAATCGAAAATTTTCGAATGAAAATCGGAATTCGATTTTTTGCCGTGCCCATTCTTTATTCATTTTACGTTATAAAATCAATTGAAAATGTTTAAGTAATTGAAGTCTGTTGTAAAAGAAAGCAATTAAATAATATGAAAGAAGTAACCATTCTTTGGATGTTAATAATGTTTCTAATCGTGTTATGTTTTTTAATTTATAGAATATAATAATTATTTCATTTGATATTCTGATTCGGTGAATACAATACCGATTGATACTAACTTGAAAATCATATTTTTATTATAAATCTAAATTAGTTCGTACCGGTCGCGTAATGCAGATCAATTTTAAAAAATGAATTTCAACAAATCGATATGACTAACATCTGTATCCATAAAAACTATGTGTTCTATCTTATTAAAATAATTCTAAGAAACAGCGCGACAATGAAGAAGCGAACTTCCTATAAATGTCTGTTTTTTCGAGCAAATTTTTTAGCGAACTTTAGTATTATTAATAGAATTTAATAAAATGAATAAATTATTGTATTCTTTTTCAAAAATATCGCGATTGTTATTAACAAGTCTATTGTTGATTTTTTGCTCGTCATTGACTGATGCATGGACAAATCCTTATGTTTTTAACGAGAACAATTTAAGCGCTAGTTCTTCAGGTGAGAAAACAATAAAATATTATATTGTTTCCTATTATAAGTCAAATTTATAAACGTTTTTTTGTTAAGTTCCTGTAAACAAAAGTGAAGCTGGAGTATTTGATATTGTTTCAAGTAAATTGTGCGATCCGAGTGTAAAACAGGTATAGTATTTTCAAATAATTTCTGCTTATATAAATTTCATATTAAATTAGCGAATTCATTCATTTGCTTGTATAGTATTCAGGATATTTAGACATTTCGTCAGATGAACACATATTCTTCTGGTTTTTTGAATCTCGGAACAAGAAAAATCCACTTCCTTCAGAATCTATTCCTTTGACTATTTGGCTAAATGGAGGTCCCGGATGTTCATCATTGATTGGACTTTTTCAAGAGCAGGGACCATGTAGTACTATTAACAATGGGGCATCGACACAGCCGAATCCAAATAGTTGGAATGAAGTCTCTCATATGTTATTTATTGATCAGGTCTGAACGATCATTTATTCTTTAGAATCTGCTTGACAAATCAATTAGTTTATCCGGTATTTTTTCATGCGTTTTAGCCAGTTGGTGCTGGATTTTCCGATGGCGATAGCTCAAAAGTTAGCACATCTCAACAAGCGGCCGATAAATTATATGTGTTTTTGCAAAAATTCTTTGAAAAATTCCCAGAATATGCGAAACTTGATTTACATTTCTTTGGCGAATCCTTTGGTGGTCATTATAGTAAGCATTTTAGATTTTTAATATTTAGTTTTATATAGTATTAATTGTTGATTATGTTTATTGCGCCAGTTCCAACATCAGCAAGAGTCATATACGATAATAATCAACAAATAATTGCTGGTAAAAGCAACGGTATAATTATAAATTTAAAGTCAATCGGAATCGGAAACGGATGGATCAATCCACTAATTCAATAGTAAGCAGTTTACGTAGCGTAGTTGTTCAATTTGGCCTTGCATTTGCATTTGAAATTGTACATGTAATAACATTCATATCGATATTGTGTAGTGACACCTATGCAAATTTTGCTTGTGATAATGGTAAGTTATAGAAATCATTTTACATATTGGGCGGTTTTTCTTATCGATATCGAAATTAATATTTAAATATTATATAGGTATAGATAGTGATACTTGTCAAGGACTGAAAGACAGAACGCCTGATTGCCAGAAACAATGTGAATTTTACTAATTATTAATGTGCTTCTTATTCATCCTCTTTCTAATTATTAGCTTTTGTCTTTTATAGTATCAGCATGCTATAAATCACAACAAAATTGTGGAGAAATTGACGATCAATGGTGCGCGATTTTGCTATCTTTTTATGAATTCAGTTCTGGCCGAAGCGTTTACGATATCAAAGATGATAACGACCCACCAACTGACTTTGTGAACTATCTGAACCAGCCTGATGTCATCAAGCAAATTGGTGCGAAAAAAAATTTTGAAATGTGTTCAAACCGGGTTTTCTATGCTTTTGACGGTAGTGGAGATTTGTAAGAAAAAATATAAATCATTAATTATTTGAAGATGGGTTGTTTAAACTATAGTAATTGATTCCTATTTTTTTTTTTTAGTGCAACAAATACTGCTAATCATATAGAATATCTTTTGGATAAAAATATTCCTACTTTGTTATATCACGGCGACCTAGATTTTATTTGCAATTGGTATAGTGACACTTTCAAAATTTACATTTTTGTTCTCTTGGATCTAAACTTATTGTTATCGCTATCGCTATATTTTTAGGTATGGAGGTCACGATGTGGCTTTAAATTTAAAATGGAGTCATGCAGATCAATTCAGCAAAGCACCAGTTCAAGAATGGTCCGTGAATGGTAAAAAAGCTGGAAGTTACCAAGAAGCAAGTAACTTACGATTCGTTCGTGTTTACGATGCTGGTCATGAAGTACCGTTTTACCAGCCCGAAAATTCATTGTATATGTTTACAAAATGGATAAATTCTTTGCCATTATAATTTAAACTGACTGTTATCTAATATAATTTAATTATTTCAATTTACCGTTACGTAATCATATAAATTTTCATTGCTTATTACTGTTATTTACTTCGAGACTATATTTGTTATATGCACTACAATTCTTTTAAGAATTAAATGTCAATTTCTTTCATGTGGTCTTTAAATATTTCCTTGCTTATTCAACTTATATGCTTTTTAACCTGTTTCTATTTTGTCTTCGAATTTATACCAGTACATGTATTACCGTTACAGTTGAATGATCGCAAATTAACTTTCTATGCATAGCGATAGCAAATTGACAAAATAAAGCAATTTACTCACGCACAATATCGGTACTACATTTAATGCACATGTACTTAGCGTTAACGTCGAGAAGTTCTACAAGCACATGTAATACATGTAAAATGGTTCATCACGCATGTAATCTTATTACCAAACAAATATAGAAATAATTTACGTTCAAAAATCTGTATCGAGTTTTCTATTTAAACAATTTGTAATTTTCTCAGAAACAGAATTCTTCCTAACGCCAATCTAAGAAACTTTCTAGAAAATATGGGAACATGTTTCTCGAAATCAAAAAATGATAAAAATAATGAACGAGTTGTTGACCGAAATGTTGATTCAACCAAGAGCGAAAAAAGTAATATTCCGGTGATAAATATATCATCACGTGAGTCGATACAACCAGATTTAGACACGGACGACGACGACTTGGAATATCCGTTACCGAATTTTGATAAAGAAAAAGATCGGAATCTTGTACAGCATTTTTTGTATCGGTATATATGGCAAAGCTATTTCTCTTCGCCAGTTATTGAAAAGCTGAAAATTGAAGGAGCTAAAGTGCTTGATGTTGGGTATGACATTTTATTTATTTGACAATATGTTATTTCATAAAGGGTTGAAAAATTTTATACTTTGAATAGATGTGGAACAGGTTTATGGGCTCAAGACATTGCTATAAAATATGACAAAGCAACAGTGTATGGAATCGATAAAGCAAACGTATTGCCAAAAACTGTTAATCTTCCAAATGTCAAATTTATACAACATGATATTTTGAAGAAATTACCAATGGAAGACAATACATTTGACTTCGTACATATAGGATTCCTTGGGAGTAGTTTCACAAAAAGTCAATGGACTGAAACCGTTTTGCCGGAATTAGTTAGACTTACGAAACCTACCGGATTTATGGAATTAATGGAAGTCGATGCACAAGGAATGAACGAAGGCCCGGCAGCACAGTTATTAATATCTGGAGGTACAATTAAAAGACAAAAAAGATTTGAAATTTCAAATACGACTTTTTAATGTATAATATATTATTATTCTTATAGTTCAGGCATATTTTCGCAATAAAGGAATCGATCCCATCCTCACTCCACATTTAGAAAAATTTCTGAAAAGTTGTGGTCTAAGACAGATTAAGAGAGAAGAAAATTTCCATCCGATCGGCGAATGGGGCGAAAGAGCTGGTGAGTTGGCGCTTTCCGATTGGATACAAGGACTCATGAAGTTGAAGGCAAGAGTTGCTCCGCTTTTAGGACTTGACGATGATGGTTACAATAAATTAGTGCAAGATTTTAAAGAAGAAGTAAATATTTTTCAGACATATTGGAAATCTGTTCGTGTTTATGGAATTAAACCGGAGACTGATACAATAGATGTAAAGGCGGCTAGCTCGTAGTAATTTATTGTTGTAGGAGATTCTAATATTTAGTGTATTGTATTATTACATGTATTCATCAATAATTAATTTAATTTTATGTTATTCATTATATTTCTTTTTATTTGTCACCTGTATGCAATAATCATTCTTCTTTTACCCAATTCTTTAATGGCTTCATTTCAGAAAGTGATAGTTGCAATCCACATATAAAATAGTTTCTGCAAATTCCTTTCATTTTTTATTTGTTCAGAATATGAGATTCAACAAAACTATTAATATTTCCATTTGATAAGTTTCGCATTTTCGTGATTGTTGATTATTATACTAATTGGATTAATTGGACTAGTAATATTTATGTTTCTCGAAGGTTAAATATTAAGAGAATTGTATTTGCACTAGACACATATAAATAACTATATGCTTTGGGTGCAGAAGCAAAACGTGTAATCTTCTTTTATTCTATGAACATGTCATTCTTCTTGTAAACGAGTCGAGTCTGCGTTAAAAATGGAAAAAGTCAGTACATGCTGCTACATCTATCCTATCTATGGGTACAGAGTTAACACACTGAATGAGATTACTGAGGTTTCTTTGATGCAAGAAGATTTCTCTAATTGGATTTCTGAAAGAAGGAAGGTTGCCAGCAACTACGGTTATGTTAATGCGTTTAATATAATATAAGGAAGGGGCACATGGGATTATGCTGCAAATAAAGGAGATTATTTGTATTTTTCGACAAGAGGTTTCCCAAAGCCACGAGATGGAATATCGATCGAAATTTCTTAACACGGCTAGTCTATTCTACAAGTAACAAAAACGCTGGCTTTCTTCTATGACAAAAACCCGAAGTCGATAATACAAGCAAGAGGTAATGTTGTTTCAACTTTATTATAACTTAATTAAGGCTCAAGAGCATACCTATATACACATTGATTTTTGGTACATGTTTGGTGAGTGATGAGCTAAAAGCTATACCGAAAATTATTCTTTTTTACGAAATGATTCGAATAATGTACACAATGTAGCGAAGCGATCTCTGATCTGATGAATAACTACTTTCCATCACTACTTTCCATCCGGAAAATTCTATTTGATGATTTAAGGTTTAGGTTTAGAAGACTGGAGATTATATTATAAATATCAGATTTATCTCTTGATTAATTTTATTATTAATTATTATTATTATTCTAATTATTGTACCTTCTATCAAATTCTAGTCTCCAAGTAAACTATCTATAGTTCACTGAAAAATAGCAAGTACATTACAAAGTTCAAAAGGTATAATTTTGAATTTGTATAATCTTTTTCTTGATATAAATACTATTATATATAAAATTCGGATTTTTCACTTCAAAATTTTACGTATTCTTATTGGTTTAAAACAAACAGATCGTCAGGGTCCCTTTTTTTCGCTCGTCGAATAAAAGTTCTTGTAGTTATAATAAAAAAATAATATTATTGTTCTAACTGTTACAAACGTACTTCTTTGTTTACTAATTATTATATTATTCATGTACAATGTGATCGGAATATCTAACATCGAAAATTTGTCTATGCTGATGATTAACGCTGATTCTAAGCTTAGCAATAATCAATATAAATGAAAGTATGTTTATATTTTAGTTCGACAAAACTATCGCTATATCATGTGATTTAAAAATTATATGGTTGCTATGCTATGTTATCACACAAAGTTTACTCTTGTTATAGTAAAGGCATCCGGATTATTAGCAAAAATTTATTATATTTATTAATAAATATATTATATCGAGACATTTAATAAGAATTCAATTATAACGAGAGTAACTTGTATTGTATTCTGGATCTTTCATTACTTATCTGATATTAATCCATTTTGATCGGATATACTATCACAGGTAAAGTGTACGTAAATGGATTTGGGGAAGTTTACCAGCAACAGGGATTGTGAGAGAGTTGTTAAACTAATTATTCTTTTTAGGTTCTAATTCTTGTGACGATATCATTCAATGAATCTGGATAATTTAAGCAAAGGTAAGTTTTTTGGGGGTTAGGGAAGGGAAATTCTGTTTGATTTTCGAATTATTCTATCCTAAATAATGTTTTCTAGACAAAAACCTTAACCTTAACACAATTATTCAAACAATCAATCAGTTTCCGATGATGCGTTACATTTTCTGGGTCAGGGATCTAATCATCAACTAAAATAACGTTTATTACGAAAGGTTCTTTTACAGTTATTTAACTACTTGGAGAAAAACTGAATGTGATTTTATTTCTGTCTTTTATCCGAGAGTCATTCATTATATATATATTTGTTAAACACTTTATCAACTGACTTAATAGATTCTACTCACGCTTATAATTTATACAATAAAATACAGTCAACACGGAATATAATGGTGTCGCTTGATTGTGTCGCGTAAATATTAAAAGCAAATACCGAGGCAAAGGAACACACGAATAAATTACCTGATGATGTTAACATACATTATATTTTTCCTGTTACTTGTTATCAGTACGCAATAATATCATCAAAAAACTAAAAAAATTTGACCTAAGACTTTTCACTGCAATTCTGCAAACCTTTCTTAAATAAATTATATAATAATTATATTTACAAAAATACTCGAGTTTCATTTATATAAGCCTCTTGGAAAATTTTCATGAAGTTTTGTGGCGAATATGCGATATGTATTTTCTATGGTTTTTATAAAGTCTAGATCTCAATTTATACATAAAATATAGGTTATGCTTCAAGTTAAGGTAATGATACAAAGTTGAACCTGTTGTAAAAGGTTTTCGTTGTACTAGTGAAAAAGAAAGATAATTCTTAAAGGATCACCCTTATGTCAAATTGCATTCAAATTTGCAATGATACCCTGTTTATAAACATTTATAAATAAATTTTTATGTATGATAACAGTCTGCCATTACATTCCGTGCGCATTTAAGTCAATAAGCATAAAATAATACCAAATATATACATTACACGATTGATATTGCTGAAAAATAAATGTGTTGCATTACGAGGACAATTATGCTGAAGAACATACGGGGCTGGTAGAACAGAATTACGGCCGCTGATTCTGCCATAATTTCGTGAATTAGAGAAACTACCGTATTTTATCGAGCAAAATACCTCATATCCTCCTTAATTTGTACCTGGGGAGTACGATCCAAGAAAAAGGTGAGTAGAATATACTGCATCCGGGTATTTTACACGGTAAACTAAGTAACAAAACAATGAAATAATTCTCGCATTTTATCATATTTTGTTGTAAATTCTAATTTGAATCCGTGTTGCAATTATGTACAAATTTTTCAAGGTGCCTGAAATTAATTTACAACACCTATATGAAAGGTTATAAATATCGGTTTTTTTGTGGCTTTTTGGATTCAATCGTCCATTTTTTTATGATTAAGTTACCGTGTCACGTAGTGATTTCAACCTTTATATTCATTATCCCATTTAATTTTTTGACACTGTATTGGTTGCTTTATAATATTTAAAAATTTACTTGTGTGAACTATCTGTACTGAATGTTTGTGTGAAATTTTTCTCTTAAAAATAACCAACTTGCTTATATTGTCGATGGTTATATTTTTGTTACTTGTTTATCTTTCATATCTCATTTTTACGATTCAATTTTTAGAAAATATCAAAAAACTAGAACTCAGGATCGTATATTCTTTCAATTTTATTCTCAAATAACGCACTTCTGTTATATTAAAAACTATTACAACAATTATTTCGTTTATCCTAAACTATAGCGATAAATAAACAATTCAATTTATGTACATTTCTTTTTCGAGATATGCAATTTATGCATTAAGACCGGGTATCTCGATGCAATCACTTCCGTTCCCAGTGTCACGTTTTGCTGGACCGTTCCCGAACCCGTTTCCATTTCCATTAGAATCATTGCTGTTTCCGTTGTTATTTCCTGTACCACCTGTTGATGATGGTCCATTTTTGCCATTTTTGCCATCTGTTCCTGATTGTCCATTTGGTATAGGGATACCATTGCATCCCTTGCTACCTGCTCCTCCGGAACCAGCTTCAGGCTTTTTGCCGCCTTTTTTACCACCTTTCTTTCCACCTTTCTTACCGCCTTTTTTACCACCTTTCTTGCCGCCTGGATTATTCGTTGGCGTGTCTGGTGACGTTGTCGATGGATTATTTGAGTCAGTAGGCATTCCGTCGTTATTGCCGATGCCATTGTTCTCGCCGTTATGCGAACCTTTATTTCCTTTCCCATTATTCTCACCATTTCCATCTCCATTATTTGTTCCGCTTATGTCACCGCTTCCATCGTCATTAGATGAGCCATCATCGTTGTCGTTGTCGTTGGTACCATCATCTCCTTCGCCGCTTCCATTATCATTAGACGAACCGTCATCGTTTCCAGTGCCGTTATTGTTGGTACCATCTCCTTCTCCATTATTTGTTCCGTTTACGTCACCGCTTCCATTATCATTAGACGAACCATTGCCGTTTCCAGTGTTGTTATCATTGGTACCATTTCCATGCCCGTCGCCGATATTTCCATTGCCATTGTTGTTACCGCCTAAGATCAATCCTGATCGTTGTTCCAATGGAATTGGTGCGGCGGAAACTGAAGCTCCGAGAATAAGAAGAGTAGCATAGATGATAACTGCAGAGTAGAAAATTTTTGCCATTTTGTTGCGTTTTACGTGAGATTTAAAAGAAAGAATGATTTTTTTTTTTGAAAGTGTATTTTGCAAACTAAGTTCAATATAGTTTTTTGTAAAGTTTTTTTTTTCCTTGGCGAATCAATCGCAAGTTAAAATAAGATGGCAAAAAGTAAAGGCAAAATTTAAAGAAATGGATGTGATGGATCGAATCAATCGATGACAAAGCTTAAAAATCAGCGAGAAAACATGTCATTTTATACTTTTTCGTTCTGTCAATTACGTAATAAAATTTATACGTGTACAGTATTATCTTATGCCCGAGTTGATAATCAAGAATCATCGGCCGTTTTCGGTCAACAAAATACACAGAAGTACATGTATTACCTAAACGGGGTAAATCGACAATTAGATGTTAGTATTGTTTAAATTAATGCAACAATAGCTACATGTATTTAGCATACGGTGGTTTTATAAATTCGCCTAGTATTATTTTGTTTAGATTACCAAATATTTTGCTCTTCTTTTGCTTATAGAGATTTCTATAGTTTACGTGATCAAAATAAAATGGCATTGGTCAATTGTATGGATAGATTCTACATGCAACATGATGATGTTAAGAAGACAAAGAAAAAGGGATAAACGTTTTGTTCTCTACAAATTATATTGTTCAGATCTATCCTCTAAAGTAAAGGAAATTAGAATTATATCCGACCATTAGCTTTTTCTATATTCAACTAAAAAAGGAGTAATTGCATATTTACGGATGGTAATACATATCCATGTAGTCAACATGAAAACTGTGACGTTTTTTGTTGTGCGCATGTAATTTCCTTACTGGAAAATTTTCTTGTAATCCCACATTGCACTTCCCAACAAATACCTATTTACGGGTAATAAAATATTCTGGTGTTCATGTATTTGGCATTTCCTTGTATCGTTTATGGAATTCTATTTGTTTTTTTCTTACACAGGATGTATGCAGGGAAACTGTTTAAAGTAGTTAAATAAAATTTATGAAAATTGAGAATGGTATCTCGAGCATTTTTTTTTTTTTTGAGAATCAAAGTTAATAATCTGCAAAAGTTTACATAGCATTGAAGGGTAATAAACTTTAGTACAACGGGTGCTAATAAGACATTGTATTTAACTTTTTTATTCTGGTTATTCCACGTTGCGCTGCTATTTACAATAATAACGAAATTTGTGCCTCTAAATTATTAATTTGACTAACGAGAAACAGATAGATAAATACTATTGGTCAAATCCGTTACGATATCAAATGCTGTAGTTGTCAATTTTGTATTGTCCAATTCTCAGAGTGAACATAACTTTATTGTATTATCGAAGAATTCGCAAAAAACACCAAGGTGACGTCATTTTGAGCGTGCTTGTTTCATAACCATTGAAGATTGATACGTACGTGTATGCGTATTTATGCACACAGGCAAATACAATTGTAGTTATAATGGAAAGTACATGTATCGTTGATTTAAACTTTGCGCGCAAAATGTAAAATTTGAAATTTGTGATAATACAGAATTGAAATCGTAAAAAAATCAATATTCTGGACAAGTCATCCGAGATACGAGCTTCATTTATCTACATATTTTGTCATTAGGCTTTCACGCAATCTAAATAAATATTCAGGTTTTCTTATCCCCGAAAAATACTCACTAATTGTTATCTCGATTACTTTTAAAAAATATGACTTTTTTATAGTCTAAAAAAAAGTAAACATACGATCTCTTTTATGCGATGGTCTCTAAATTCAAAGTAAACAAGCATATTTACATGCAATTATATTGAATATAATGAGGATTGTATCGTAATTACGTTTTGTCAGCAGAACTTAAAATTAAGACGAGTTGAATTGTAGCTAAATCTTTAACACTAAATGAGTGTTACCAAACCTAACTATGTATAAATTTTTCAGGATCATTCTTTAAATTTTTTAATTCAATAAGATGCAACTAATGTAACTATACATCTTAGAAATCCCGAATTCGTGAAAATTCATGCATTTGGAATTTTGATCTTTTGGGATGCTGTATTTTCGGAATTTCGTTTGGTGTTCTTCGGGATTTTGAACGTTACCGGTGCATGAATAAAGATTTGAGGATCCATTCGCTTCTGCTTTAAGAAATAAAACAAACGAAATATGAACAATTCATGTGTATTACCGTTAAAAATATTTTATATCCGAGTACATATGTTTTCTTAAATCGTATACATATATGTACAGTTCTCACCATATACTGTACATGTACAGAGAATGTAGTCCATCATGTGATCAATCCCCTTAAATTTTCAGTTTTTACTATTATGGGTTGGTGCAAAAAGATTTGTATCTCAGATAAACATTAATAGATTATTTTTTCAAAATAAAATTTTAATTCTGTCTTATTTAATTAAGTTATTAGATATTGAAATTTATTTAAATATAAAAATTTTTATTATATATCTTTTATAAAAAAATTTTACTAATAATAACTTTTTTCAATTATTATTTCTTAAATTTTACTATATAAAATTTGATTAAAATTAATATAAATACAGTGGTTGACATAAATATTCAGAATGTCAATCTGGTACACAAAATGTCATGTAATATTACTAATTTTAAACTAATACGTGTATAAAATTGGGATTACTTTGTTTAATAATAAACATAATAACGTAAATATTTTTGTTATCAGTTTTTGTACCCATTAACAAAAAAATAAAAAAAATACCATCTATTTCCAAGCACAAAGCACAAAGAATAGTGGTAAGTTAGCTTTGGGCAAATAATATCTAGAAACCTGTAGAAATTGTGCAAATAACAGGTTTTTCTAAATCTACAATATATGATATAATCAATCAGATTAAAAAATTATCAAGTATTATATCACTTCCCAGATCTAGAAGATCTTTAATTCTTACAGTTGAGCAATTTTGCATTCTTAACCAATTGATACAGATCAATAATATTATTACTACAACTAAAATGACTAAAAGACTTAAATAAAAAGATCCTAACTTGAAAGCTTCCATTCATATAATTTAATGTATCTTAAAAAAAAATCTTCAATTTGATATTTGTCATTCACTGCAGATTCTTCTTTTATAATCCCATTACATTACAGCCTATCTTGAATAGGTACAGAAATATGTCCATCAAAATTGATCTTACATGATTTTTTCTGATGAAATAACTCTTCAAATATTCAGAAATACTTAGCTAATAAGATATCATCATGGAATATCATAACTATATAAAAGTATAGTAAAGTATTCCTATAAGATTCATGCTTAGAGTACTTTTAGTATATAAGAACTAATTATACTTGTCTTGTTTACTAAAAACTTCAATACTAAAAAATATCAAGAAATTCTTGAAATGTTATATTTTCATAGCAGATCATAGATTACGTTTTCAATAGAACAACTCTCCAATTCATAATACAAATGAAATAATTAATCTTTTTTATTATCATAATGTTCAAATACTTAATTGACCTTCTTACTTGCCAGATATCAATTCCATCAAGAATTTGTGGACCATACTTAAGAGAAAGATGAAAAAGAAGGTAAATTTATGACTAATCAAAAAAAAAACTTTCAATAATAGAATTTCAAATGATAATACAAATAAAATGGATAGGTTTGAGTGAAGATCTCTATCTTCAATTAGCAAGGAGTATGAAGGATCATGTTTTGGTAGTGATTGAATGGGAGGAAAAAAAATTGACTATTAAATTTTTGTAAATAGTTAATAGTCATATTTGAGAATGTATATACAAAATTTTTGCACATGTTAATAATAAAAATAAAATATCTTACCTATCATAATAAATTCTGGATATTTATATCAACCACTGTATTATATAGTAAATAATTTAATTACTAAACTTTGAATCTTAATATTTTTATAATTACTGATTTTTTAGAATATATATTTATCAAATCTAGGACAACCTGCTTGCATAATTTAAAAGTTCTAATATTACAAATTGATAGTGATAATATTTATAATATCTTTTTTTTTAAAAAAAAATATTTTATTTTAATTTTTTTTTTAGTAAAGTAATACTTTATTTATTATTGAATTAAAGTATAATAGAATAGTTAAAATTGTATAAAAAGTTAATTTAGATCATTTTTTATTTAATATAAAAAAATTAGTTAAAATTTGAATGATTTTTATTAGAAGTAATTATTGATTTTTATATTGAGATACAAATCTTTTTGCAACCCATAATGATTTTATGATTTATAAGGTCTGGGTAAGGGTAAAGTGTTGGGGGCAGATACGAGATTATATGTGAAATTGCTGTCCCGACAATTTTAATTAGTGTTCCAAGACAGATTTAGGCATTTGTTTCGAGTAATATTCATTTTTCATATCTTGTGTCGGATTTTGGTTTGCCGGGTTGAGCAAAAATTTTGCGCACCCCTATTGGATATGGATCACGTTTTAACCGCTCATGTATAACGTATTGCACAAAACGATCGTCCCCAGTAGTAAGTTTATTTATTGGTGTAACTTAAACAACCTTAAAGTTAACATTAAAAAATAATTTATTCCTCTTATCGTTATTGTAAAATTAAAAAGCTCGACGAATAACTGTCAGTGGTATGATGTCCATAATTTCCCAGCGTCATGATATACAAGTATGTAAAAAAATTAGATCATATTTTGAACATTCCAAAAACTGAACATTTTATCAGAAAAAAGATAGAAATCTTTTAAATTCATCTCTAAATTTGATCTGCGTAAAAATTTCATATTAATATTCTGAACTTTTTATTTAGAGGTCAAAGCTGATTCACTTAATAAAAAAAATACTTTTTCTTATTATGACTTTAAAAGCGCATTTTGTATTCATATAGAAAATTTGAAATTCAGGAGATTTAAATCAAATTATTAAAATAACGAACATGTATAACTTAAAATAGAGAGCAAACACACACGGAAACAAAGGTATAAATTCACTTATACTTTTGCACCCGAATTTGACTGAAAAATGGAATATCTTATTTCGTGAACAACTTAATTTCGTGATTTTACAGTAATTTATTTCTAAACCTTCGTCACTCATTTTTTTTAAATAAAGTATAATTCGTTCTTAACCTTGTGCATAGTGATCAGCCTGTCTTTCACTGCTTGCATCTGCACCTCATGATTATCATGCTGCTTATGACATAGAATAAATCATTTAGCCTAGATAAAAATTGTGGTATAACGGACCAGATGCAAATACATTGATTTGCTTCATTGCTGAACAATTAAATAATGTTTCAAAAAAGTAACTGAACTTTTAAATCCTAGTTTAGCTTGAGAACAGACAAATATAAAAGTCAAAAAACATATTATTCGAAATAAATATTCAAGATTAAACACAACTACTAAAGGATATCAGATGATGATTGGTTTTTGTTACAAGCTAGGGATTGGAACTATAAGAGACGAGAAGAGGACTTTGAGCATTGGGTGATAGATGACATATCGTATGACCAAAACTCAATTCACTGCACAATTCAATATCGATTGGTCTTATTAGCTTGGATATAGAAGGTATGACTATATTTGAACATATAAATTATATACATGAAGATATATATTCCTATAGTGGAAATTTTTCGCGTTTCGCGTGATCTCATTATTTGATTAGTTTGATCAAACCATCGTATTTAAAAATTGATACAAAAAATTAATTATAATAAATATTATAAAGCTTCACTAAAGTGCTATCAGAACTGTATGCATAGTTGTTCCATGTTTTTCATCATAATGGATTTCTATTGACAGATCTTAAAGCGAGAAACTTATATTTGTTGATGGGTAATCATGATGACTCTTGCGGCACACTATAATAATGATGGAACAAATGTTTGATAGATTCATAAATTCGACCAATTATATCATTTAGAAGCACGATTGAACTCGTCACAAGCGTTAGTAACGGAACAATATCATAAGAGATCGTGTTGTTGAAATATAAAATCTGTTCGAATGAAACAATTAAGTTATATTTGTGATAGCATCCACCCGAAATCAATAGAGATTTACCTGAATTATAAATTGGGGAATGTTTTCAACGAACATGTTGAGAAAGCTGCCCCAAAATATCCAACTGAGCGTATTTTGACTAAAGGGAGCACTAAACGCTGAAATCCCGGCAAATTTGGAATGCAGAAACGTCAGGATCTCGACATCAGCGGCGGCCAACACTGTAAACAAGGATGCGACTTTTCCATATTTCGAGAACCATTCCACGTATCTCGGGTTAGACGTAAATTCACGAACGAAAATAACAAAAGCGAAAACGGAATTGACCACAATTGGTACAACCAAGGTAACGATACTAATCCAGAGACGAGTTTTAGAAGCGAGCTTTGAAAAGAGGCTAGAACAGTACAGAAACTTACGCTGGCGTATGCAAAAAATAAACATCATTTCCGTTTTGAACAACGAACAACACATCAAAAATCAGATCCAACATAATGAGAACAACTTTGAGGATGGCCAGATTGTTCCCCTGTTACATCAAAACAAAATGTTACATGTATAAGAGCAAATGTCACCAAGCCGTTGAAAACTGGCTCACCTGTGGATACCGCCGACGTGCCACATATACTATCAGTCCTAATAGAAAAAGTCCTATAACGAGATAAACCAAGTAAATGTGGTATTTTTCCCATAGATTTGCTAAAAAATCAGCATGATTAGCTTTTGTATACAAAAACGGAATACTATTACATTTCCTCACGTGTGACTTTAATTCCATATGTATCATCAAGTAAGCTAATGTAATCATATCTTCCAAATGGCGATGTTGCTTTATTCTTCAGCATTATCATTAATGTGTCAAGTATTTGTTTCGTATTCATATCATTCGGAGATTCCCCGGGGACGATTGAAAACCTCAATAACAGTTGATCAAGCGCATTTGAATCTGAGAGGGTGCGCGTTGTTTTTCCAATCCGAGATAAACTGATCGGAACACTTTCGGCTAGTTCAGATTGCAATTGATTCAAGAAATTCGATCGATCTTCTGCTGAAAGTCCAAGGAAAGATGCGGTTCCAGCCATGGTGAGCCTCACCAAAACTGTGGCAGTTTCTAAGAAATTTTCAACAATGTACTTAGAATTAATATTTACATCTTTAATAATAAAATTAAAATAAACATACTTGCATATACATTTAGCGTGTTGTCTAAAAATAAAAAGTTTTATTTAAATTTTTTAGTCATAAATTCAAAGGTAAATAAATCATCCACGTACTAGATTGAGTCTTGAATTTCCAAAGACCAGTTTTTATCCCTGATAAGGCTTCGTTGTATTTGGTTGACCTGACGAAATCAGGATCTACGACCACATAATATTCGGTATCAGGTTGGTTAAAAGTGGTGGGTAAAACTGTACAAGACACATTATTGCCATCCTTGACCGAACATAACCCTGATTGAGCTGGAATCTTTTGACGAAAAATATCTCCATTAGTTTTGAAAATACTAATATTCTGAGAAGATAGAATGACTGGAAAAGTAAATGATATGGTGAGGCTGATCAAATTCAAGGGAATGATTGCATCGATAGATGGCTCGGTTAGATTAATTGCGAGGTTACGATATTGATATCCAAGATCTGGAATAAGAGGTCATGATGATAAGAACAACATAAACATCTCAATATGAAGATTCGATTGTTACCTTCGTCGATGAACCGTGGAAGATCCTGTATGCATCCATTTAATCACTTTAGATCACAATGTCTCAAGAAAACTAACACTGATGAAATTTGACAAACCTGCGATATTAAGCTCCATTGTTTCGGCATTGTCCCCGGGCAAACCAAAATCATCCATACCTTGGAAGAGATTGTTAAATAAAACACAAACATTAGATTTGAAAATTCATAGGTAAAAATGGAATATGTACCGAATTATTTGAATAAACGCCACTGAAAAGGGTACCGAAACCACAACTAAAATTAATAGTGGTCACATTCTTAAGTGTACTGTCCGGTTGAATTATGCTGATTCTAGTCCATGATGTTGGATTCGCTAAGGTGGTATTCGGTATTTCGTTTACTATTGGTTCGTAAAATTCCACCCCACCATACGGAAGAGGGCTTTCAACATTATTCTGCCCGTGGAAAGACGAAGAAAAATTACTACTGAATTGAGTTACAACATCAGGCCCAAGATCAGCGCCTGATGAAAGAAAGGAGAGATTCATGATTTTATAGCTGAAAGAATAGACCACTCCTAATAGACATTCGTATCCAGCCCCTAGAATTCACACGTGATATCTTGATTAGTTTATTAGGATATTTGGCTTTGTTAAACACCATGCGCTAAAGGTAGCTATTCTATGGTGGTGCGGTCGAAATCCCGAACGTTCATAAGCTCGAAGGATCGAAATCCCGTGATATTTTTAGTGTTTTGGGATAAACGTACTATACTTTTAGGATTCTGTTCTTTCTGAATTTCAATTTTTCGAGGTGTCGTTCATTCGGGATTTCGATTTTTCAGGATGTCATTCTTTCGAGATGTCGTCGAATGCTCGGGATTTAGTACCAGACCCATTCTAGGGCTACCCGATCTGTTTCAATCCAAATAATTTTTGAGATTGACATTGATTACCTTGAATTGTCACATAACATGATTTTACATATAGTGAATCCAAAAGTTCATAGGTTTGGTAAATCAAAAATGGTTGAGTCATTTGCGGAGTTGAATTTTGGCGAACAAATACAACTGATACATCCCACGGACGGCTAGGATCGTCCGAGCCATTAGATTGAGTAGCATTTGGTGCTAGATTCCAAACGACTTGGGTAATAGCGTAGCCTCCGTCAATGAGACTAAATGTCTTAACGTCCAAAAAACTACCTTTTTGTGTAGCTAAAATTGTGTCATTGGCAACAATGGAGGTTTCCCACTGTGAGTTCCTAGAAATGGTGATTTGTTAAATTTGAAATGTTGCATCCTGTTAAAAATGCAATATACTTACGGATACTGAAAACTGGCCCAATGGATACGAGAATCATTCCACATCAATCCAAGGAATCCTTTGTCTGGGTTGTCGTTTAGTATAAATTGGTATGGTGATGGATCAAAATTTTCGTAATCATTATGTCCCGATAGACTGAATCCAAGTTTGTTGAAATACGTGTATAATGAGGAAATGTTTCTATGAAAGAACGCTGAATTATTATTTTTCTTGATACTAAATTATCATGTTCTGAACCTACTTTGCAAGAATATTCCCGTTCCAATCGAGAATTGAAAATATGACGGAAGTCGAGTTAAGTATGTCTCCCAAAATGAAATAGTTTGACTTTAATGGGTGTATTTGATAGGCATGATTTGTAACAGGAACTCCAAGTAAATCTACGTTTACACTAAACGGGGTCAAAGTTCCATTTGGAAAGATTAGTCGAAATTCAAGAACAATTTCCGTTGAGTTATTTTCCCCGGATAAGAGGACTAAAATAGTTTCATCATCATAAGTTGCGGTTCGAATAAGAGTGAGGTTGGGGTGAGTTTCATAGTAAGTATTGTTCACATAAGCAAAAGGTGTGATTCGCACATTTAATAGAAAAATGAAAAGAAATAGGAAGTCTCGAAATTGAATTCTAAAATTTTTCATACTGAAAATCTAAGTGTGAGTTTCAAATATTCGTTAGAATTATAAATCTAAATTCATTAGAGTTTGAAAACCGGTTGTTCATTTTTAAAAGAAACCATATTAGGTATGTTCATAGCCATTATAAACAAAGAATTATACAAATTTGCGCAGTCGCAGTATTTTACTACACTTGGGTGGCGAAACGAGAATTGAATAAGAGATTATTTTTAGAAACCGAATATCGAGCATATTGCTGAGGTAGTTTTTATGTTAAAAACTTCTTGATTACATTGAGCATCACAAATACATGTATTGCATTTCATGACATCACATGTCAAATCCTAACTACACATTTTTTTTTACTTAAACGTGATGAACTAGATTTGACCTTCGGAAAAGGATATCTCTCAAGCTGCAGATGCTACGAAATTGAATACACACAACGAATTTAATCTTCGCTCGAAATTTATTTACCATTGATTCGTTTCTTGCATATTAATTCTGTTGATTTTTATGCTTTATGCTGAAATTTTGTCAAAGAACATAATGTTACTTTACATCCAGTTACAACAAAATGACTGTTAGTTCTTCAAATGTTTCATAAAATTAAGTATATAAAGTTATTGATTATATTAAAGAAATAGATGGCACTAAGAAAACAAATCAATCGAATTTGAAGCTACTATTGCGATGCATTCGTGATAGATTAAGAATACCGATTTTCATCTTTATGTGTTAATAAGGGTTCAATAATATATACAAGTTACTGATAAAAAAATATATAAAATTAGAAAACTTTAACTATTTTTTGAGCTAAAAATAAAAAATATTTATTAGTAAAATTAAAAACTTTTATATATATAAAAAAATATATATTTTATCAATTATAATTAGTAAAAAAATTAAAGTATTATATTATTTATAATTATTTATATAATTCTTATTCAAGTAATAAAATATTTTATATTATTATAAATTATTTAATTAATATAACTATAATTATAATTCTATTATATTATCAAGTTTTTTATATTAAAAAGATAATATATTAATTAATTTCTTTATATTAAAAAGATATTATATTAATTAGATATTTAATTTAAAAAAAATATATTAATTAATTAATAATAAAAATAATAATTAATATAAGATTATTTTGTTAATAGTTATAAATAAAATAAAATATGATATGAATAGTTTCAATTTATAAATTTATAATTTTGTTATTTGAATAATATTCAGATTTAAGATAAAGTATAGAACAAAGAATACATATTTATAGAAAAAGAAATGAATATAAAATATGAATAAATTATAAATAATTAATTAAATAAATTGCATATGATTTAATAGAATTAATTATCTTAATTTATATCTCTAAATAGCAACTAATTATAATTTAATAATTATAAATATGATAAATAATAATATAAATAAATAATAAGAAGAATAAATTACAATAATAAGAAAATATCAATTATAAATCTAATTAAAAATATTAATAAACTAAATTGATATTTATAATATACATAATATTTAACTATATAATAATATATAAAATTTAATTAATTAAATAGATGAATAATTATTTGTATATCTAATATGGAATTAATCTTTAAAAAAAGTTATACAAAAGATAATTTATTATATAGATAATATAAAATAAAGATTTAATATTAAGAGATAACTTAAATAAAATTATTATAATTAATAATAAATCAAAAATTTATTTTTATAAATAAAATATAAAAAAGTGAAATACTATTTTTACTTACATTTAATAAATATTTATTTAAATTATATAAAATTTTAAATATATATACCTAATAATTTAGTAAATAAGTTTACTTTTTTATTTATTATTTAATAAATATTTATTTAAATTATATAAAATTTTAAATATATATATTTAATAACTTAGTAAATAAGTTTATTTAAGTTAATTTACAGTCAATATGAAAAGTAATAGTAGATATGTTTTTTATTTATAACTTAATAAGAAATTGCTAAAAATTTACAAAAATTTGATATTATATTCTTTAAAATGACAGAAATAAAATTCTCTAAGATTACAAAATATGTTAATATAGTAATATTTTGTGAAATCACATGCTAAAGATGGCAAGCTGGGGAACTATTCTGATTAAAGTACTATAAAAAATTATTTAAAAATATTTTTTATAAGCAAGTATGAAAATAATTTTATAAAAATATATTTGAAGATATAGAAAATATATTTATAATTTAAAAAAATTTTTCAGTTGATATTTATTAAATAAATACCAGTCAAAAAAGGCTTAATTTTGATAAATTTCAAATATAATTATAATAATATTTTTATCATATTTACTATATTTTATTATGAAATTTATTAAAATTAAATCTTTTTTTGATTAGTATTTATTCAATAAATATCAACTAAAAATTTTTTTTAAATTACAAATATATTTTTATATTTTTAAATATATTTCTTTAAAATTATTTTCATACTTACTTATAAAAAATATTTTTAAATAATTTTTTATAGTACTTTAACCAGAATAATCTCTAGCTTATCATCTTTAGCATATAATTTCATAAAATATTACTATATTAAAATGCTTTGCAATCTTAGAAAATTTTGTTTCTGTTATTCTAAAGAATATAATATCAAATTTTTGTAAATTTTTAGTAATTTCTTATTAAGTTAAAGATGAAAAACATATTTGTTATTACTTTTCATGTTATTATATAAAATAATATAATAAATTTAATAGTTAGTTTATAGAATATTACTATTTTATATACTATTATTACAGCGAATCGGTAAGTGGGTTTTTACTTTGATTCACCCTAACGATATAGGGTTGGGAGAGACTAAAATAATAAAAGATAACAAGAGGGGAATTAGATTATAACTTTCAATAATGATAAAGGTTTCTAAGGCCTGTGCCAATATCTACGGATATTGTCTCAATAAAGGGTAAATAAATAAAGAAAGAATAAAATAAATCAAAGAAATTA